TTGCTGCTCTGATTCCTCACATTAATCTTTTCTTACCTTGTTGTTTCTCGAATGCTGATGCCTGATGTATTTTATGCACTTGAGATTGTTGAATGTCCTTCCTTTATTTTCATATAAATACCCTGAGTTACTTTTGAGTTTGAAAACTTCTATTTGCTTTTGTTGAATCTGTATTATAGTTTATGAGATTCTTCCTATTTGACATTTGAACAAATTTGCCAGCTGTTATCTGCATGTCTGCATTAATGAATTATAAAAAATGATATATTGGAGTGCAGTTCCATTGTCATTTGGATTCCTTGGTCATGACAACGTTAACCCGTTCGCGTTGAATTATGTCCTTAGGATGATGCCTTGTGAGCTTGGCCATGAGCTGGGCAGTATCCCAGGTGCAGAGAGGCATCCTTGGTCTCACCAAACTTAACCCAAAAGATTACCTATTGTGAATGGGTCAAGGATGCTTGCATGCAGTGATCATTTGTTGAATACAAAGCCTTGTAGTTTGCTGGAGCCCTGCATGATCTATAGATGCTCATGGACAAACAAGCAAGCATGCACACTATACAAATATCAGCATGAATGCCTAGACAAAAATGCTTAAACTTATACAACCATGAATACACATGGACATAGACACATACACACCAGAACATATTTATACATATGAACATATAAGGAACATACAGGCACATATACTTAAACACACAGGTACGCACATAAATACATGGGAAAACACATGTATACAGACAAAGGTACACACATGTATATACACAAAAGCTCACACATATTCATATGCACAAAACAGCACACATACACAAAAGAGCATGTGCATGTAGGGGGACACACACACACACACACACACACACACACACACACACACACACACACACACACACACACACACACACACACACACACACACACACACACACTCACTCACACTCACACTCACACTCACACTCACACTCACACTCACACTCACACTCACTCACTCACTCACTCACTCACTCACATTATTTGCACACAATTATATATTAAAGGATGAATGTATATGTTTCTCTTCTTGTGTTGTCAGTGCAAGGGAAGTGATAGATTAGAGATTTGTATTGTTATCCACTCTCTGTTCAACTGTTGTGTGCCAGTCTGTAAAGTTGAACAAAACTACTGCCAAATTTCACTGATTTTGCCCAATAATTACATAGATTGGTATAATTGGTTTTATTTGGTTTAGTTTCCTTTATCTTCTGTACTCTTTTATCCTGATGTAAATGGGATTTGAGCCTAGAAAAAAAACGCTTTAAGATTTAGGATGTGCCATTGAAAAGAAACTGTTCGCAAAGCAGTGCATATTGACTCAAGGTAATCAATATTTTCAGTGAAGAAATGGCACAGAAGCTTCAGGAGGAAGAGAACCGCCTGGCAGCAGAAGCAGAAGCGGAGGCAGGAGCGACACGTTACCCAGCTGCGCCACCTTCTCAGACACGGCAGGTGCCACAACCCCCTCCACAAGTTCAAGAGGAGAAGAGAAAAAAAGATGTGAGTTTGTATCTATAAAAAGAATGTTGCAAAAAAGTCTTATATTGGAACTGTTTAAATTGGAAGATTTCTTAAATATGATAAGTATATCTCACTACCTTCAGTCTTCTTCCTAACTCTCCCTCTCCTTCTTCCTCTCTCTTTCTGTCTCCTCCTCCTCCTCTGTCTCCCCCTCCTCCTCCTCCATCTCCTCTGTCTCCTCCTCTTCCTCCTCCTCTTCCTCCTCCTCTTCCTCCTCCTCTTCCTCTTCTTCCTCTTCTTCCTCTTCCTCCACTTCTTCCTCTTCTTCCTCTTCTTCCTCCTCCTCCTCCTCCTCCTCCTCCTCCTCCTCCTCCTCCTCCTTCTCCTCCTCCTCATTTTTATTTTGCTTCTCCTTCTTCTTCTCGTTATCCCCCCACTCTCCCTCTCCCTCACACTCCCTCTCCCTCATGCACTCTCCCTTTCATATAAGAATCCATAATGATTGAAAAATTCCTTTTCTTTTGCAGTGTACCATCCTCTGAAATATTTTGAAGTTTTCATTCTTTGGAACTTATATTCATAGCTCTTTGAGTGTCTTGTACTGAAGAACCCATCCCATTCTTATACCTGGATGCTGCAAGTTCCTGGAGTAGAAAGATGCAATTTTTCAAGAGTACATTTTGGACAGTTCACCCCTACAACCTACCAAGGCATATGTTTTCAAGGTCATTGGTTGAAGAAAAACTCCTATCTTTATATAAATAATGCTGCGTGTTGATCTTGTCTGATGAAGAAAGAATGAAATAGTGTTACCATTATAGAAAGCTTGCAAAGTGATATTCTAAACAGTTGATATTTGTATACTATTACTGTACAGGATGCATTGTCTGTAATGGACTATTTTAAAATGTAGATGGACAATGTTAGAAAGCTAAAAGACAAAGATTAAGATTTATCAAGTCAAAAGCAGATCACTTGAACCTGATGGTAGTGGTGTTGCCACTAAGATCTAGTGACATTTTGATACACCCTACATCTTCCACTGTGATATTACATTGCAAAGGGGAAAGAATTGCCATGCATCAAGAGTTATATTTATTACATCAGCATAGCTTTTTAAGTTTGTCAAAATATTGATCAGTTTCATTCATAGTCGTAAAGTGGTTTGTTTGCTTGAAGATACAAGAAGGATCTCTGGTATGGTTTCTTAAATTTGCTGTTTCATAACTTATTGATGCATGAGATTCCCCCAGATTTATAATAGAGCCTCAGTTATATAAGAATTATAAATTAGAAATATAGGCACAAAGCTTGTATATGTATATATACAGTACTTGGAACTGTGCAAATATTATGTATGTATGACCAGTACTAAATTCTTAAATTATATGAAGTTATTTGAAATTAATGGTGATTCTGTATTCAGAAGTGTTTAAATGTGAGTTGAAATTGATAGCCTTGAAGTTTATGGTGCACACATGGAAGTCTGTATATTCCTAAGTATTTGAAAATCATTTTGTGATGTTGAAATAATTAGAACTGATTTTTGAATTTTAGGTAAAAGTTACTCACCTGTAAATATGAATATCTCAAAATTATTTGATGTTTTACTTCATACATTTTTTGAAAAAATATTTGCACCCTCACAAACAAGAAGAATATACAGTTATGGATGAAAATATTTTAAGATTCACCATAATAGATAGCATAATGTATTTAATCTTGACATGATTTGAATTTGGCTTGTTAGCTGCAAAATAGGAAGTAGTTAAGGAAGCAATGATGCCTTCATTTCACATTGGCATTGAATATTGTGAACTCCATTCAGTGGAAAGTTAAGAGTTTAATTATTTTCAATATTTCATTACATGTATGTGTATGTATGCATGTGTGCATGCTTGTGTGTGTACAAGAGGGTGTGTGTTCATATTTCTAGCTAGTATTATAAGAATAAAATGAAATTATTGGGACTTATATTTGTACTTTACAATTTTATTTATGAAGCATCATCAAAATTTCTGAACACATGCATAAAGTGATTACTTAACATATTAGTAACTGCAGAACTATGAGGAACATAAAAGGCACAGAAATATTGCAAAGTAGATTATAATTTAGGGATGCCTCAGGAAATGAAATAGAATTTTAGACCAGTACATAAATTGGTCGAATCTTTCACCTTCTGCTTAACTATGTATCAGAACATCAGCTTTGGGAAGCTTAGTAGCAGTCCACTGTCAGTTCAAAGGTGGGAGCTATTGGCAAGGGTGCAGTGTAGCTTGGTGACTTAATCACAGACCGGTACAGCTTTACATTATATGAGATGAGGCCATCCATGTTCAAAGGTGTTCTCAGACCAACTGACAAAATATGTTTGTTAAATGTTTTGCTTGTTTAAATTTTTATCTCTTTAACATAAACATATATTTTCACATTACTGCATCACAGTCTTGAGAGTGTAGTGCATTAATGTAAAAATATCAATGCTTATGCTATAGATGAAAGATTAAACAAATAAAACATTTAATAAGTATATTTGGGCAGTTGGTCTGAGAATGCTTTTGGATATGTGATCCCTCAAATGATTATCATAGCCCATAAATGCAGGAAATATGCTTTGTCTTTAGGATGTACGGAATTGTTCTCATAAGCTGACTGGTATAATTTGCTGTGGGTTTGATATTTATGCCTTTGATTGAGAAATCCAGTCTGTTTTTTTTTTCTTTTTGTGGCAATAAATATTTACACATCATAATCAACTTGTGCGTTGTTTAACAATATGGAAAACTTTCTCTTTCTATTGGCCACTATGACTTAATATTTCCCCTATAAAACCATATCTGCATGCAAAATTATTTATTCACAAAAAAAAGAGAAAATATCTGTACATTCAAAATATATTCTCAGGTGTAGCTGGAAACTTGGGAAAATATGGTTACAGTATAATAGTTCAAGGTTATATTTTGTTGACTTGTTGCAAAATCATCAATCCCTTGTCTGACCATATTACCATTATTAGGCTATTTTGTTTTGTCCTTTGAATATTTTATAAGAAAGAACATGATTTGCATTTTGTCTTCTAATATTATATCTTGTCTCTTCACAGTCATATGATCGTTTTGTCTGTTTGTCAGTCTTTGATTGATATGCAGAGCTAGGTATTAGAGGTAGTGTGACTAATAGTAGAGATTTGTTATTATGTTCTACTGTTTACAGAAAAAAAATAAGAAAATAAGAAATAAGACTACTGTGGAATACTGAATTGAAGATCTTGCCTAAATGGGAATAATTTTTTTTTATTAGTACACCTTACAGAAAACTACATTGTTGTAGACTATTCCTAAACTGTGTATCCTGGATCGTGGAGGACCCTCGCTATCTCCACCATAGCTAACTCCATGCACACCTTACAGGATTCTTGGATAATCATTACTGCTTCACTGTCGATAACTAGATGTGGAGCCAATCGATTGCTCATTTGTATAATGGGACTATTTTTTTTATCTTTATATGAACAAATGAAGTTATTTTAAATTTACGTAAGGCACACTAGTATTTGCATTGAGTATTGAGAGACAAAATTAGAAGAGACTCATACATACAGTCTCTGTCTTAGTCACTATATAATAATATGATGCCTCTGAAAGACTATGTAGATGTAATTTTTGTATGCATTTTTTATGTGAATACTACAAGAATTTTTGATATGGAGATTGGATCTATGTTAGAGTATAAGTGATTGCTCATTGTGCTGTACATATATTTATTTTTCATATATTACACCAAGCCTTGTAGTGTTGGGCATATATTTGTCAAATTCCTATAGATCACCAATACATACTGATACTGCAGCATGCAAAGGAAAAAATAACAATACATATTCAAGGTAGAATTTGGGTGGAATTATTCTCCGCAAATCGGAAGTTTTAAGGGAATGCCATCAGGTTATTGGATGGGGAATGAATAAACTTCCAGTGTTACATGTTAGTTATTTTTTGCAAAACAGTTTTTCTGAAGTGCATGTTGTAGTTACAGTAAGAAGGTGATTGTGCTTTGTATTGTTAAAGATTTGTTTGTAAGTGGAACACAAATATTTAAAGTCATTCTTGCTATGAAGACCAACACTACACATTTACTTCTGATTCACACATCATTATTGCAATGCAAGATGTCTGGCTGTTAGATTTTTAGATTTGTTTGTTATAATATGCATAGCTTAAATTGTAAAGGTGAAGGCCTCTGTTTTACATGATAGTTATGGTTTTAGTGTAATATTTGCACCAATATTGTATTCAGTGTTGAAAGCACAATACTGAGATGCTGGTGTTTTTCTTTTCTTTTTAATTTCAAGAAAAGGCAGGGAAAATACTGAAATATGTTTTAACAAACACAGTTGTTGGATGAAGAAACATTTATAAAGTTTAAATTTAGGCAGACATTTTGTAATATTGTTCTGATCAGTAATCAGTGTTCTTATTACTGTAACTCAAAAGAACAGTAAATAAAAGTAATGGATGTTTAAAAATCTGAATGCATAGTTTGACTTTGATTCTGAACAAGTGCTTTTCTTTTTTTGGATTGCTAAATATATGACACTGCTCTTGTATGGTGTTACCTGGTTGTCCTGAATACGTTTCCAGTACTTCCATGCTGCAAGGTTAGATTACGTCCAGTCACTCAGAATAAAAAGCAAACATTAGCTTGTCAGGTAGAAACCAACACTGGAAGAAGATGAAACACAAGAAAAATTTCATAGGAATGTTGTTAGTAGGGATCATTGCTACTGACATTTATTTAGTTCATCCATTACTCCTAAAGTTAGTCATTAATTTGAACTCAAAGTTTGACTGCGTGGGAAAAAAAAAACATGTACTAAATGTTTGTACAATTTAAGAAAATGTTTTTGAAAATAATTTTGTCTCTCTCTTTCTACAAGATATAAAAAATCAAATCTGATATCTAATTTGTAATTTCCAAAATCCACCAGATTTGTTTAATAGTTCCTTCCACATTTAATATATATACCTTTCTGTGGCTCCTCCAATCCTTTGATTATTGTTGTCATGATGGGGAGGAGGGGGGGGGCTTAGGAGACAGGGACGGAAGCCCATGTAGGGGATCACCCCTACCTTGGTCCTCAGCCCTCCATTGCATGGTCTTTTCTTCTTTCCTTTTTCTTCTCTTCATCCCTTTCTTCTGTCCACTTATCTTAATTATTAACTAATTTTTACCCTTTTTTGTTAAAATTCTTTATCATTATATTATATGACCTTTGATGTCTAGCACATTTGTTTCAACCATTAACCACACTGTGAATCCACAAACGTCGCCTTATTGAATAAAAAAACTTCCTTATTTGGATCCCCCACCATATCACTATATTTTCAATATGCTGCTAATGACCTTAGATGTTGATGCGGCAGAAATTTTTCAATAAATAAATAAATAAAACATCTTTCTATGGATACAGAAAGATGTGTCCTCAGGCTGCTTTGTCTGGAAAGAAATAATATAGATAACAAAATGATGATCGACTATGCTATAGAAGAGGTCATTTTGAAGATTTGGTGCACCTACTGGATTAGAAATTTTCCCTGATATAAACAAAAGGATAAATTAACCCAATGCCACAGGGAAAATGAATAAAAAATGGGGAAATTGCTGTGCTCATTTTTTTTATACTTTTGTGAAATGTCTCTTCACATAGATGGCTCTGCTAATGCTTAGCCACAAAAGAGTCATTTAGCAGACCTTGAGACCTTACCTGATTTCACCTTTCCTTGAATTGGTGGGAAAAACGTATTTTTTACTAATGCTCTGAGTATTGTTGGTGTTATTTTTATTATAATTTTTATAATGTTATAAACATTAGTAACATCAAAATACAATAACGTAAAATATTTTTTTAAATAAAGGAAAAGGGTAAACGGGTGAGACAGGCACTATTTGTAATTGGCTCATTGATGACTTGGTACAAGTGCAGCCATCTATGTGTATAAATAA